GTGGATCACTAGAGTTTGGTCGCTAAGTCGAAAGCGCATCGCTCTTACCGCTAGTGAAACGACCAATCACTAACTAATCTGCGGATTAGGGTTTTGACTCAGAAAAGAAACGCCGCTTATCAGGTGAGCCGTGCAAATCACAAATTACCTTACATGGTTCGTTAGTTGTGGTCAGGAGCACTGGTCGGTGTCTGAAGGGAGAAACTGGGCCACGGTTTAACAGGGTGAGATGAATCGAAATCGCTCCATATCCTTGGCTCCATAGCCCCCTAGTATGGTAAATCCAGAGGTGTGGACGATACAATGGAAGGGGTGTCGCACAGGGACTCCCGTTAGGGTGTCATTAGGTTCGGCCGCAACGTTCATATTTATCGCGTGCTTCGTGACGCGTAATTATGCCATCCATCACGCACACCTTAAATGTGCGCGCGCGACATCGCGCTCTGACCTAGCAGGTGCTGGGGCCCTAGTATGCCTAATTTTCTCAGTGTTATAATTCTGCTTGTGGAGAGGAGAGGGAGAAGAAGTAGCCTTACATCGAGATGCATGCGTAAATGAGAGCTCAGGAAAATATGTGCAAAATTTGAACTCATTGCGGGGAGGGAGAGGGGCAAAAGGTCATCCTCACTCTCCATTTGAAACGGAATTTATCTCACCTTGCTGATTTCACCGATTGGCTTCAGCTGGGAATTCGAGAACATATTCCAGTATCAAAATTGCTTCGTAATAGCCTTCTACCCCGACGAGATCAGAAGAATTTGTCACGGGAACATGGTCAGGGTTCGAGCTCAACAAGGTCCTCGACGTACCATAGACCATTACAACGTCTCTGAAACGCTGGTCAAAAGGTTTCGCATAGTCAGAGCTAATGTCTCTGGGAAGCTATTCAACAGTTAATCATTGAAGAAATTATGTAGCAGCTTCAGGCTGGAGCGATTACGGTAGGCCTCCTTGAGCTCGACGGTGATGGCAGATGACGTCATATTCTGAAGACGGTGAGGGCAGTGAAGGAGGGCCTGCTTCTGTTTGGAGGACATCTAGGAATATTTTGTGGTAAACTTCCATCAACGGCGGCACTCTGTCGAAAAAAATTCCTGATGCCATGGGCAAAATGACTTGTTTTGCCACCCCCCCCATAGCTGCAAGAGTAGGCCAGCTGCAAATACTAATAAAAATTGATATTAAGTAGTTAGCTCCAATCAGCCTCTCTTTAGAGTGCGCCTTGCACTCGACTTCCATTCTGAGTTGCTGTGACATTTGAATGCGTAACTATTACAAGGACCATGGGATCAATCAATGCACAGGACATTACGTCGGTCATTTCATATAAATCTGCTCAACCACTCCAGTTTGGTAAAACAAAGTGAATTTTTCCGATCCATCGTCCTGGGTTTCACAGAAATCGGAAATTGGAAAGGGCGGAAGTGGTGCAGTGACAAGTGGCGCGCTCACCACGCGAGCGGTCCGGGGGATCAATCCTGGGTCGTGAGTCGCCCGGGCCAACCAAGCCTTCCATCCCTCCGGGGTCGGTTAATTGGTACCAGACTTGTTTGGGAGGATAAAAACACTGACTTGAACATCGGGCCCCCGCAAGTCATTGTATAGGCCACATCGCATTCAAATGCCACTGCGAATGGGACATGGATAGTGTGGTGTTGTTGTGTGTGATCAAACGGGCATTGGTTACGTGCAAAATGCCTTGTACCTTTATGTATTATCCTATTATTTCTCTGGCGTTTTTCAGAACACTTTAAGTCGGAGGACTGTCAATGATTTTGAGCGGCTCAAGCAGGGTGATAGAGATATATATACCGGCCATCTTTTTTGTGGAGCGCTACGTCCACGTCATTTCCGAAAGGTCGAGTCAAAAGCTCCTAATGTTTTTCGGACTGAGTAATTGCTTTCGATGAAGTCAATAATATTGCAGCCTCCATCATAGGTACTGGGTAGTCTTAATAATGTTTCATTGAGGTGGAGTTTAATAGTCATGAGTAGATAGCGAATGGAACCTAGAGGAACGGGGGTTTCTAGTAGGGCGACCTGACCCACGCTATCACATTGCTCTTGCGTCATATGAAGCCACCGAAGTTTTCGTGTCCAACGGGGATAGCCTCGCGCGCGCATGCCGCAATTGTTGATTTCCGTGTTTTCAGGGATACAGTAGGCTCTCGCTGCGCTGCATGGTTTTGCTTCGGCGTTAATTTTTCACGGTTGTGATGGTTAGGCTCTTTCATGTTCTTTCCTTTCTTGGTTGTGGCCTTGGTTAATCTTTAGGATAGGGGTTTGAATTTTTCCGCCGTGGCTTTCTTTTTTTTCTTGAGTTGTAGCAGCTTGGACGTCGTTTCTTTATTTTCTCGCATAATTGGAAAGTTTTTCAGTACTGGGTGAGAGGTCGTAATGATCTTCGTCAAGACTCTTTCGGGTCAGACATTGGCCCTCGATGTCAACGATGTCTCAAGCATCAAGTCTTTAATCGCAGAACGCGAAGAATCGCTGTCGAAGATCAGAGTGGCTATTTACGACGTGTGGTTGTGGAAAGTTCGGATCGTCTGCAGATGACGTTTTTTGTGTGTGTGTGGTGTGTTGTGAGTGTGTGATCCTGAGGCCAGTTTGCTTTGGTCCTTGAGGCGACCAGCTCTGAAGTGCTATGATCGCTATTGCTATAGGTCGTCAGCTCTCGACAGCATGATGAGAGAAAACGTCGAGCAGAGTCTACTTCTTCATTGTATCGCTGAGGTGTGCTTGTTTTCATGATTAGTCGGTTCTAGCAATGGACTGATGATATTTTTGTACATCGGTGTCCAGCTCTGAGGTAACGGATTGATGTTTTGAGTTTCTTGAGCTTAGATTTTCTAATCTGGCTTTGGGTTCGGTTTTGGTTACATGTTTTCGATCCTGCAATTATAGTTTTTTGTTGCCTGGTCGGAGGTGCTAAAGAGAAGAGAAGTTTAACTGACTCCCAGAATCAGCAACAAGAGAAAGAAGGTCAGTCGCTGTGTTGAAGTCTATGAGGTATGATATTGCTTCTGGCTCCCAGACAATACTACATTAGGGCGCGGCGCGGCGAACGTGCCGGCCCGTGTGTGTAGAGCGGTTTGTGCACCGGTCAGACATTATGATACACCCAGCAATATTAACGCAGGGAGAGCGCGCATTTGTGTGGCTGCAATATTGAATGGTGCCGCGAACTCGAGAGCCAGTTTTGCGGGCAGTCGGGGTGTTTCACGCTTCGCGGAACATGACTCGCGCGCTTCGCCGGCCCCGCCATTGGTGGAGGTATTTTGTCGGGGAGCCATTGCTTTCTAAAGCAGGAATTGAAGTTAACGGAGCCTTGTGGGATTTTAGCAGTGATGATTATATTTTTGACATCGGTGTCCAGGCCTCTGAGAGTATCGTGACTGTTGTTTTGAGTTTCTGAGCTAGTTCCCCGGCTCTGGTTTATTACATACTGCTGATCCCAATTTTGTTTGAATTTGGCCTGAATGCAATTGTTTAAGGTTGATGACAATGGTAAAATCCGCCGTCTTCGCAAGGAGTGCCAATCACCGACGTGTGGAGGAGGTGTCTTCATGGCTGCCCATGAGAACCGATACTACTGTGGTCGCTGTCACGATACCCTGGTCGTGGAGGAACCTGTGGCCTCTTCAAAGGGAAAGGGCGGCAAAGGAAAAAAATAAATTGTTATTGTTGATAAATTTTGTTGTTACGCATGAATGTTGCATTCTTACTCAGCTCAGGTTTTTTACATGAGGTAGCCACAATAACCTAGCTCTCTGATGACATTTTTCTACGGTTTTAGTGAAACAATTGTTGCTCCTTTTGGCAAGAGACCGGTAAACCTGCTGAATACCAATGTGTTTTTAGATGGTTAGCGGTGGAGCAATAATGCAGTAGGTAGTATCTTGTTACGAAGATCGCATCAGCGCAGAGGTCTGATGGCTTTCGAAACCGCCACAAATGTTACCATTTTAGTACCACCTTAGTCCCCTTCTTGTACAAGGAAGTGATTCGTACACGGTGGGCTTTACCGCTCTGTACAAGTAGGGTGGGCACTCCCAACTTTTCACGTATTTGAGGTGATTGCCCTCACCCCCTATCCTCTAGATTGGCAAGACTCCGAGTACATCAACGACCTTCCTTCCCTGGGTAGTCTTCAGGCATGTCACTGAACGAGTTATGAATGTTTTCTTTGTACGGCAATCTGATATGCTACTTTGTTTAAGGGTGCCCTTAATTGCTTGCAAACTTCTACAAGCATTTGTAAGCAAGCGTTGGTGATGTCAGCTTTCGCAGCTTTGTTGCTGACAAGAAGAAAAGAGTAAACCTACATAGTAGTCGTTCTGGTGTTCGCTCTTCTGTGACCGTAGGGTCTTTCCGCTGCTCCTTCATGTCATAGATACGAATCGAGCGTATATAGCTAGAAACGTACGACGATCGATACGCATTTCATGCCGTGCGATTGTTGCGTCGCGCGACCGACTATGAAAGCGCCCGCAGCGACACGGAAGGTAGTTCTGAGTGTGAGTTCAGCTTCGCAAAGCGAATACAACAGTAGACATCCACTTCAACACCACTGCCATCCCGTGAATAAAAGCTGTCTAGGATGGGTGCTTAAGACGTGGGTTTGGTAGCCCTTTTTGAATAACGCGAAGTGGTTCAGTGGTATAATTTATTGATAGAGAGCGAGAAATAAGAGCGTGGTCGTTGCCAACGCTCACAGAAACAACAGTGGCATGATAACCATTACTCTGCACCCCGCACCCTCGAGAGGGTATGTACTCGAGGGAGAGCAGTTGGTCGAGGAAAGTATTAGGCCGATGTCAGGCTTTGCGAATCG